ATTTTAGTTAAAAATTCAAGGGTCAGCTTATCCATTAAGGGCTTATACAAAAATATATATGGTACACTGTTTTGGATTCTGTTTTTTCTAATAACACAAATATCAATTGTGCAATTTCTTCTGTACCCTAACCAGTAAGAAAATAATCCTATTTGCTCAATCCTATTTGCTAATTAAATTTGTTTAAACTATAATGATTTTCTACCATTTATTGATGAGAGGTTTTGTAGATATACCTGAATACAAAATTGGCTCAAACTTCATGAATCAGCCTGATAGTACTTTGATATTTAACTCCACATCACTTTTTTTAGGGACAAAAAGTATTTTGTATCTAGATTTGAAAAGAAAGCAATTTACGAAAAATCATTAATATCTTCTCTTTTTTATCTCACCATTTTTCAGTCAAAGCTGTTCGACTGAATAGTAAAATAAGTTGATGCAAAGGATCAACTCGCTTAATACATTCATCTTCTTCTGTTGGTTCTGCTCCAGGTTTCTGCAGCAAGAAACAGAAGAATAAGAAGATGAAAAGAAAATGTTTGAGATCTGAGATGTAATTATATTTGGACATCATACTGAGAGCCATCAAACTTATTTCCAAACAAATTTAAATTAGGGATGCTTGAAAATATGATCTTAAGATATTTAAATATGAACTGATTTGAATTACACTGTGTGCACAATTATTAGGCAAACTGTATTTTTGAGGATTAATTTCATTATTGAACAACTACAATGCTCTTGGTCAATCCAAACATTAATAAACCTCAAACCTGAATATTTAAAGAAGTAAAAGTGAGGTTATGGCTTTCTTGGGAGAGTATCTGTGTGTGCACAATTACTGGGCAACTAAATGAAAAATGAAAATTTGCCCATCTCACTCATTTATTTTCATCTGTTAAAGAGAGAATAATAAACAAACAAATCAAAATTTAAAAATAAACATTTCTGACAGTTCAAAACATAGTCACCGAACTGGTGGTAACTCCGGTTGAATCCCACCCCTGAACAAAACGTTTGATGGTTCTATAATCATGCCCAATATCTTAGCAATTTCAAGACTGCTGCATCCCTCTGAAAGTCTTTTACAATTTTTGACTTTTCCAAGTCAGTTAAATCTCTTTTTTAGCCCGTTTTGCACACCTTGATATAGAGTGTTGATCTCCTTAAGCCACACCTTCCCTCATTACACAAATATACATCACCTGATATGCTTATACCAACTAAGCATTCAAGTTTATACAGCTTGGAGGTGGAAAATATGCAAAAAAATGATGATATGGTCAAAATACTCATTTGCTTAATACTTGTGCACAAAATGTACATTTATTGAATCATTGTGGAAAAACTAACTCAATTTTCATAGGTTTGCATACCTTCTAAAATGCTATACCATACTTTGAATCAAAATACATATTAAGCCATACAAAGTCATTTTACATATTGTAGATTAATGCTCACACAAGATAGAACATCTGTCAAAAGTAAAACGAATCAGAATTAGGCTGAAAATAAATCAGAAACACATATCATTTTGAAACTCAAATGATGTATTATTATCAATGTTAGAACTGACTTCTATAATTATACTGGCAAATGTAAGGCTAGGGTAACAGCTGCAGTGTTGGAAAGGAACAAAAATAGCATATTAACAGTTTATGCATCTTGATATGTAAAATTCTAAATAGCCTCGAAAGGACTTCTTGCAGTCTACAAGAAGCAGGACATATAACTTGTAGTATATCTCCCACTATTATTGAACTTTTTTTGTTTTGGTTTTGTTTTGTTTTTTGGTAAAATTAAAAACCTTGACATTACCAAAATAATGAGCAAATTCTACAGTTTACTAATGGCTGAATTTGGCCAGGTTGCACACTACAATACAATTCAAAACAAATAAACAGTTTGATCTTTAAAAGTTCAATCAATTCTAACATACTGCTAAGTCTTCTATCAATGTATCTTCAAAATAATGGTCTTCTGTTTCCACCCAGGACTTTTCATATCCCTGAAGAAAAAGATTGACAGCTCGGTGCCTTAAAAAAAGTCAACAAAATATATGTATTTTAAAATGTATGCCCACTTGTTGAATATTCAAAATATTTACTATATAAAGTATCTGTCATTGTATTCAGAAATAGCATATATTTCTCAGCTAATGAATAAGAAATAATGTCCCAGTGAACAGATCTTCATGCTAAAGATAGAATTGAAAGCACTGCTACATCCTTTTGACATTTCTTTTTTCTAAAGCTATTAATGTTGCTGAGCTTTGCGCTGTGGTTTTGTTATGTTTCTCTTCTCTGTAGAGATCAGACATACCGTGGAAGATTATATAGTGGTGCCATTCTGAAGCAAGCCACCACAGCTCTTTTTCTCTGTTTCGACAAGAGTTTATGCCAAACTGCCTTTTTTGACCTTTGAGGATGCTCAACCTACAGAACAAAAAAAAAATGAAAATCAGAAATCATTTCATAGATGCTTATTTATTTTAAAGGCATAAGGTAAATCCCATTCAACTGAATGTGAATTAATGTGAATCAAACTGAATTAAATGTTCACTTAGCCCAATCCATCTCACAGGATTGTTGTGGGGAAAGCAGGAAGAGGAAGGAGTATTAGGTATGTTCATCACCTTGAGTTATTTATAAACAATAATAAAAGCAGGATAAAAAAATTAATATGCATAGGGTTTTGCTGCTAAAATGGAATTTTGTAAATATTAGAACTAAATCAAGTTAGCTGAAGTGCAGCATAAACTCCTGAGAACTATTTTAATTACTATCTTTTGATCTGGTAACTTTAATAATAGAGAAACAAGCATTGATATCATCTGAGTATAATCAAATATTGTGTAAGCTATAAACCAAGAGTACTATATTTTAAAATTGTAGTCAATCTTTGTCAAACTATTGACAATCATAGATTAAACTGTTAAATTCCAGATATATGCATATCATCTGTGAAGTTTTAATCAACCTGATACCATAGCAATAATTTGCTTTTAAATTCAGGTTTTGGAAATTGAAAGTAAACATGTGAAAAAACAGGGTTAAAGCCACAAAGATTAATCTACATATCTAAAATAATGTTCTTTTGCTCTACATTTTCTGCATCACTTATTGTAGGTTAAGAAATTGGGAAAAAATCTTTTGTTTCTATATAGAAGTAGTCATCAATTAATGTAATCAATTAATCATTCAGGGATTGCTCACACTTCTGATAGTGAAAATGTAGACATGACCAATATGCAATCTTAAAATCATCACAGCAGCCCATGGTCACATGATAACCATTTGCAACCTTCGTGGCCAGTTGCCACCAAGTGAAGTCAATGGGGTACCCAGCAGAAATTTGCAAATCATAGTCATATAACAGCATGCTTAACAACTGCAAGGGATTTGCTTAAATGATTGCAGCAGAACTGATGTCATAAATCAGACAAAATCATGTTTCATTTAAAGATTACATAACTTAGCAATAATCCCAATTGCAGTTGTTAGGTATATTGCTTGTTTAGAAAACAAATGTCGTCCTTTTTTGTGGTTCTATGCATAAATCAGGTAAATCAAGTACTCAGGCATGCTGAGAACATGGTGGCACAAGGAAATGACAATTAACAACTTGCTGACCAGTTACCAGCATCCCAATTAACAATTAAAAGCTACACACAATCAAGAACCATCTTTGGTCCTGGTGACTGACTCAGATTGAATCCTTCAACATTATTCTGGGACACACATATTTACCTTCATTTGCAAGAGAATATTTGTAGCTCGGGATTGAAACTTTGGGTCCCTGGTGCTCTCTCAACTTGGTGGTTTTCCTGCATTATCAAACCAAATAACATCATCAGTGCTAAGTACCACTGATGATGTTACTTACTTTCGTAATGAAATGTCTGTAAGAAAACCACCAACCTCAGAGAGCACCCCACAGAAGTATGCTCGGTCTTCACTCTTCCACTATTTAGGAAAATGAGGAAACTGCCTATTTTTCACCAAGCTTTTAACTGTGATTTGAATGTGCCAACAAAAAAAAAACAGGATAAAAATCCAAAATAGGAAGAATAATCTGTTTTACAGTTTTACTAAAAGAATAGTGAAGTAATTGCAAGATCAGCTTGGATATTTCTGAATTATGCTCACAGCACTTCAGTTTGACTGTCTTCTAAAATAACCAGGAGGAGCATATAATTTTTTATACAGAGAATTATGAAGTATTTTTTCACACATAGGATTCTTGAGATGGTGAGCAGCATAATAATCAGTAGGATGCATTACAGATTGAGTTATTGGCTGCCCATTACTATGTTACAGTTACTATTTATGTATTAAATTAGCTGTCATTATCCTTCATTTTGCTTTTTTGTCCATGCAAGTAGAATGTCACTTGTCTATTCTATAAAGCATAACCATGTTGCTATAGAAGTAACAATTGTACTAATTCTGTTCCTTTGCAGTAGATTTTTTACATTATTAATGTCATTGCATACCAAATACATACTATGCACTGCATAGTAGATAATGTCATTGGCTAATATGGGCAACTGTAGAAATTGAAAAAATAAATATTTACTCTGAACACAGAACAAAATTACAGCATGCCTACGTGGAAGGATATATGGAAAATTTGATTGCTTTTTATAGTGAAACAAATGCTAGAACTTAAAGTACACATTGTGAGGACATAAAATAAATTGATTAGTGCACTGAATAACCGAAACCCAAATAAGGAATTGTGAATGTCATAATAGAGACAAAGAAAGAGATAAAAGTGTAATACAAAAACCCTCAGATTAAGTGCAGAACCTTTCAAACGTAAGAATAAATCAAAGTGGAGCAAGCAAGTTAGGAGAAATTACACCTAAAAATAGTAATCACAAATCAGATATTTAGAGATTTAACACATCAAAATGCATAAACAAAATTATTAAAGGCAAAACCAATACATTCCTAACATAACATATGAGCATATACTCTATACTTCCCATTCTGAAACATTTCCGTCCACGCTTAGAGAAGTTCTGGAAATAATAAAAGAAAATAATACATGAAGTAGAAAAAAATCAAAATGATGCATTTAATTTTACATATGTGGATAAAAGAAAGGGTATTAAACCATATATAAAAATATGTAACTTGAAAGAGTGTAAATATTTTAAAATTGAGTACAGCCACATTAAGAACATGGTGACTGTGTGTAGACGAGGATTAATGTTTTCACCCAGAATAGAATATCGATGATTTTCCCAACCCAAATATATTTTTCTGTGAGATTCCCTCACATTCAAGTTGCACAGGTTTGTTTGTTTGTTTTTGTCACCTTGATCTGGTTATGGAAGAATCCTATTTAGTTAAATATACCGCATTTAATAATACTAAATTGAATTCTCCAAAAGAGTAAAGGAACTTCAAGAAGACATATCCTCTTTTTGGGGAGCACAATGTCAATCAGAAATTTCATTCAGAATAGAGCTGGAAGGACCTTTGAGATCTTCTAGTCCAACCCTCTGCTCACGCAGAAAACTATACCACTTCAGACAAGTGACTTTCCAGTCCCTTCTTAAAAACCTCCAATAATGAAGCACCCACAACTTCTGATGGCAAGCTGTTCCACTGGTTAATTATTCTCACTGTTAGGAAGTTTCTCCTTAATTCCAGATTGCTTCTCTCCTTGATTAGTTTTCATCCATCATTTCTTGTCCTGCTCTCTGGTGCTTTGAACAATAAGTTGACCCCCTCCTCTATGTGGCAGCCTCTCAAATACTGAAATACATCTATCATGTCCTCCCTAGTCTTTCTTTTCTCTTGACTAGCCAAACCAAAATCCTACAACCGTTCTTAATTTGTTTTTGTCTCTAGGCCTTTAATCATCTTCTTTGCATTTTTTCCAAAGTCTCAACTTGTTTTTTTATAATGTGGTGACCAAAACTGCATGCAGTATTTCAGGTGTGCCCTTTCTAAGGCTTTATAAAGCGGTATTAATACTTCATGTGAATTTGATTCTTTGCCTCTATTTATACAACCAAGGATTGAATTATTTTTTTTAGCTGCTGCTGCACACTGCTGGCTCATATTCAAATGATCATCCACTAGGATCCAAAGGTCCCTCTCACAATGACTGTTTGTGAACCAGGTTTTGCCTAATCTATACTTGTACCTTTGGTTTTTCCTGCCTAAGTGTAAACCTTGCTTTTCTCTACATTAAATTTCATTTTGTTAGATAGGGCACATTGTTCAAGTCTGTCAAGATCTTTTTGGATTCTGAGCTTGTCTTCTGAGGTGTTGGCTATTCCTGCCAGCTTAGTGTCATCTGCACAGTTGATGAGTTCCCCTTCTATTCCCTTTTCTAAGTCATTTATTAAAATATTGAAGAGTCCTGGGCCTAAGACGGAACCTTGTGGTGCTACACTGCTTACTTCCCTCCATGTATCTGTAGTACCATTAAGGACAACTCACTGAATACTGTTTGTAAGCCAAATCCATCTGGTGATCTTGTCTATCCCAAGTAGTAGTTTGTGGTCTACTTTGTCATTTTGTCATTATGCCTTCTAATAAACTTTATTTATTTATTTATTTTATTTATTTATTTGATTTGTCAATTGTTTACAAGATAATAAGTACAAGTGTATACATAGTTGTGAATATATGAAATGGGTACATATAAGAAAAATAAAAGAATAAGAGAAACAATAGGACAGGGACGGTAGGCACGTTGGTGCGCTTATGCACGCCCCCTACAGACCTCTTAGGAAAGGGGTGAGGTCAATAGTAGACAGTCTAAGGTTAAAGTTTTTGGGGTTTGGGGAAGAGACTACAGAGTCGGGTAGAGTATTCCAGACATTGACCACTCTATTGCTGAAGTCGTATTTCCTGCAATCAAGTTTGGTGCGGTTTACTTTGAGTTTGTATCTGTTGTGTGCTCTTGTGTTGTTATGGTTAAAGCTGAAGTATTCATTGACAGGTAGGACATTGCAATGTATGATTTTATATACCATGCTTAAGTCGGACCGAAGACGGCGTAATTCAAGGTTTTCTAGTTTTAGAATTTCGAGTCTGGTGGCATAAGGTATTCTACAACGAGTAGAAGAGTGGAGAACTCTTCTTGTGAAATACTTCTGGACTTTCTCAATTGTGCTAATATCACATACGTAATAAGGATTCCAGACTGATGAACTGTATTCGAGTATTGGTCTAGCAAATGTTTTGTATGCTCTGGTTAGTAGTGAGATATTACCAGAGAAAAAGCAACGTAGGATTAGGTTAACAACTCTTAATGCCTTTTTGGCTATGTAGTTTATTATTAAACTTTATTATTAAACTTCATCGGTCATTTTAGCATTATGCCTTTTTATAAACTGCTATTTTAAATGTCATCATATGTCACTTCAGTGGGCATAAGAAAGCCAATGTGGCTTGTATGCGTGCTTCAGACTAATGATTTCACATTCATTCATTCATAATTAATACTTTGAATATTTACCCAGGCATAAACAATGGAATGACTATATTGTTTCTCCCTTCTGTGCACCCCCAGATCTTGTTATGCTGCCTCATCATGGGGAGAGGTGTGTTTTCTGGTAAGGATGAGTGAAGAAGCTTAATGAATGGTTGTTAAGCAAGGACTACTATCATGGAGTGAAATAGATTTTTGGAATAACATAATGTAAAACAAATACTTTCAGTGTAAAAAAAAGTATATCATCAGGGCATATTTCCACAGTACATATTGAATCTGTAAAACTAATTAATATTAAAATGTCATTAATACACCTAACCTGTTCCAGATGGAAAAGTACATTAGCTATATCCAGAACCCGTTCCACAGTCTTTTCTGGATCTGAAGTAATATCAGTTCTGTTTGGTAGATCTTTGTAAAGGGCCACCTGCCATCTAATTGCAGGATCTTCAAGCTGCAAGAAAATATATACGAGGTGCTAAAAATATGTCTCAACTTATGAATAACTGAACAATTGTATATAGACTGTTGGAATTACTGTGATAATCTAATAAATCACTACACTTATTTGGCATGTTTAACTTTATGAGACCATTAGAACCATTGATTACATTTCACAGATATCTGAACAATTTTTGGCTCAACACCTGGTGTGCATATATGGATACATGAACAGATGTATACATATATGTGTCAAGTTGCACTCATATATAACTTGCTGTTCAAAAGATTAAGTCAGAAGCAAAAGTTGTTAATACTAGAAAACTACCTTGCCCTGTAAATGGAGGTTGTTGCGAATAATATCTCGAACTTCATCCTCCGTGTCCTTCTGTTAAGAAAACATACCAAATATTTTACTGAAAAATATTATATAAGAAGGGAATAGCCCTTGCAGAAAAATAATTCTAAGCAACTTGCAAAGCTGCAATTTTTTGTTATTATGGCATGCCATGATAAATATGCAAAATGGTATTAAACTTATAAATTATAATAATATAAATTATCACAAATGTTCTTATGAATGTTCCATAGTAGTGGAATCTTTACTTGGGGTGAAATATTCATTTGTAACAACCATAACAAGAGTAACCTAGAGGAAAGGATTTTTCCGTTCTCCAACCAGCTCCATTTAGTTAGCAGCTATCTGGTATTATCGATATCTAAGCGACTTCAACTTCATATTTACTGTATTTTGGAAAGTGTTTCTTTATCATTTTGCATCTTGTTTATAGGAACGGGATAACATTTAGGGAAGGCTCTTCTCTGATATCGTTCTTGTTGAATATATCTGTTGTCACCCAAGTGTTCCCAGAAGAAAAGATCAATCTCTGAAGGAGCTAGTTATCATATATTTTTTTTTAAAAAAGAGTAGAATAATGGACAAATCCCTATAATTAACATTCTTTTTAATGGCAGCAGGAGCCAATTATCTTCTAAGGAGAACTAAACCAGACAAATATCATATTACATTCTGATATATACCGGCCCAATGAGAATTCTTCATCTTTTGAAATTTGTATTTTTATAATTTTAAATTTTAAAATTATTTTGATTTTAATGTTTAATTTTATTTACTGTATTGTATACTGTATAGAGCCTCTCTCCAAGTGAGACAGGTGGTTAAGAAATATAAATTATGAATCAATAAATAATAAACACTAACAATACTCATTTTTAACCCTGTCAGACAGATAGAAGTACTGCCTCCATAAAGGGGAGAATTTATACAGTTATTGAACACATTAAGTGAACTTCTACATATAGAAATGATTTATAGAGAAAACCTACCATGCTCAATCGATTTTTTGCCTGGGCAATTAATTCTTGGTCACCAGGTGCACAAATATTTAGTCCAATAGGAAGCAATCTTTTTAATGCAGCCACAATTAGAGAGGTCTGAGTTGAATAACGATCCCCTTTCCGTTTCATTTTTTTTCTTTCCTGATCAGAAACAGCTGTCTGCAATGTAGAAGTAATAAGTCATTCTCAAATTATAAAATAAAGGAAGAGATAATTATCTCTTGGGGATGTTGAAATGAAAAAGGAAGAAACACCAGGGAAATTACTATGTTTTGTAATGATGGCAGGAATCTAGAAGTGCAATATCAATTTTCATTTGTATTATCTATGCTCACTCTTGTGACAAACTTTGTCATGATCTTTTATTTGTACTTGTATGGAGCAGTTGGAACTTCCTATGATATTTCCACTGTGTTATTGTTTTCAACTACATTACCATCATGCTATTATTTTGCTCTCATGATAGCAGTTTCCTTAATGATTTGTCAAACTTGCAGTGTCACGTTGCCGTCACATGACACTTGGTGATATTTTTCCCAATCGCAGAGCTGGAGTGGGTGTGGCCTGCATGTGACACATCCGGCTCGCGGGCTGCCAGTTTGACACCCCTGAGATAGATGGCATATCTAATCAGGTATACATTTTTAAAGTGTCACTTTAAAATAATGATATAACCTCAAAAAGTAATCCAACCCAAGGGAAGGGATTTTAAACTCAATGCCTAATGTCTGATAATAGAAGCAGAGCAATTAGTGATTCTTTTAGTAGGACTCCAGAGTTCAGGATTGTGAAGGCTACTATAATTAATCTTGGATTATCCTAACATTGGGTAATGCAAGGCCAATCCTACAAACTGGTGATGGGTGGTCCAGAAGAATAAATGTGGTAGCTTCCCAACCAAGCCACTGTATTAGAAACCAGAACTAGTATTGCATGTGACTGTCCTGGGTCCTTCAGCAGTCCTGTAAACTTTCATTGGTGGATTTGAGAAGAAAGTACAACAGTAGATTGTCCTATACGTTCTTCAGCAAAATATTTTGTACTGGCCTTGTAAAATTTTACCAGTCTCTTTTATTAATTTTCCTATGTTGTCTCAATGGTCAGCAATATGCATTACCAATTAGATACAACTAAGTCTACTTTAATGTACTTCTAGAAAAGAACAAGAACTGAAATACTGAAAAATATTAATGTATAACAGTTCAGGGAACACTAAGTAAGTTGGCCTCTTTGAACCCATTCACATCTCCATTTCCCACTTCTCTACTTCTGACTGTTTCTCCCTCCTCAGGACACAATCACTTCATTTATAGATGTGCTTCTCTACCCCAAGCAGCCATGCTGATTTCCTTCAATTAACCAGCAGTGACACCTTTATTAGTCTCTTACTTTTTGTAAAAAAAAATTGGATACAGTACAGAGAGAAGCTGCAGTTTCATTTAGCAACTTGGTTTGCCAAACATTTTCCTGGAAAAATGAATATGCTAGGCATGACCTCAGCTTTCTCTGTAGGACACTGTACTTCAAAAAGTTAGAAATAGAAAACAATTCATATTTAATAAAAGAGAAAAAACATCTACTGAAGGATAGATATAAAATTAATCTGTTGGGGAGAGAAGTGTTTCAGAATGAGGATAATTCTGTTCTTTATATGATACAAGTTACATGGTAATTACATTTGATAGCTATTTGCATTGCAGAAATTCTACACTGATGAAGTGGGCCTAGTGATTCCCCTGAAAATGGATGTGAAATTTGGAATTAGTTTATAGTGGTTAAAGAAATTTCAAATTAGAAATATGCATCCTTTCCATAATTTTTATCTCTATAGATAACATGTTTAGGAAATATTTAGAATACTCTAAAATGTTTGGATTATTTCAACATCCCAGTAGATGTGAAAGATTTTAATTATTAAAAAAAACCTAGAGATTTTAGCAATATTTTGATATATGCAGCAATATTTGTAAATTCTTATACCTTGGACATCTTCGATTTAGTGTCAGCAATAAGGAAAGACATATTGTTGATTTCATTTTGCACCACAAAATTCTGTTCTTCCCTTTTAAAATTCTGCAATGTTACAAAGAACATAAAAACACAAAGTATTACAAAATTCACTATCTGTCTCTTCCATTGCCTCCTTCACATTGAGTCTTAAAATTTATATAAGGCTGTACAATTGTATTATAAAATCTTAATCTATATAATGGTATAATAAAAAAAAATTCTCTTTTTTTCAACAAAATTGAACTTATTACATGCAGATAACAACATCTTTCTTTTGAGAAAATATACTGCTCCCTTTCAAATTATTTGCAAAAGAACTGTCTTCAATATTTTTCAGACAAATACTTTGAATCCTTAAGATATCATAAAGACAAGAAATGCTAAGTACTTGAAGAAGATTTGATTCTAATTATCCTGTTTGGGGGGAAAAATCAGAATAGAAAAAAGATAACCCAGACAACACCTTAGAATTCTTTATGGATGTCATCTGATATTTACCATTTATTTATAAGATGTAAGATTAAAGCCTTGCACAACAAATTGCAAAAGAAGAAAACCATCCAAGAGAGCTTTCTTTCCTGTTTCTATTTTTTTATAGACATACCCACATTGACACTTTGAAACAGCAGAGAGTCAAAAAAGCAAGATGGCACTTGCAGCACTGTGAACCCTATCCCTTTTGTACATATATCAATGTCACACACATGTACAAAAGGTCAGGACTTTGACTGGATTGCACATCTCATCTTGATGCTGTTGTACCAAGAGCCACCTGGATGTATCTGACGCTCAATACTCACTATACTACAGTGCTCAATAGAGAAACCCCTCTTATTTACGAAATTTAGAAAATACATACATGGGATTTTGACCAGTAAATGAAAACTTCTGCAACCATACGAAACAAATCTTCAGCTTCAGGGTTGGGCTCTTTGAGCCATTTTGCTCTGAAATTAAAAAGAAAAGAAAAAGAAAAACATTTATTATCACTTCTATTTATAGCAGAAATAACAAAGACACTTTGGAATCTTCAACTTTAGAACGTGTATGCACACAGTTCAATTTTCTGGATTTATGGAACACAGCCCTGAGCAAGAGGATTAGATTCATAGCATCTCCAGATAAAGAGAAAAGAAGGGAGAAAAATGGTAAAAAAGAGAAATCAGTAAAAGAAGAGACAATAAGAATTACCTATGGATGAAACAATAATTGTACATGACAGAGATATCGCACTGATGAACTAAAGTCCTATACCATTAATTAAAAAAGAAACTTGGCCTTAAATTAATTCATAATAATGCTAAACTACTAATAAATTTAATAAATAAAGCAGTTACAATTTATGAATCAGAAAACTCATTCTCATAATATGATGTAAAATAAGAGATTTAAAAACAAGTTCTCTGCATACCTATTGTAGTCCACAAATCTGATCAACAATGGATAGAAGGCATAAAGGTCCCGGGAAAGTGTAGTGAATTCATCTAGAATGAGGAGTTCTGCCTCAGACATATCACCCCTGCCTTCTGCTCTTAAGTGTTCTTCATCAGCGATCACCAGAGCTGCTTTTTTCTTCAGTTTCTCCATCAGTGGAAGAAAATGTGTTTTCAGAAGCTCCGGCTTCACTTTGCTTATGATAGGCTGAGAAAACACTATGTAAATAATCCATTAATTTTACTGCATGGAAAAACTACAATAAAAATGTTACAGTCTTCAATAGATTTATATTAGAGTTACTACATTAGAGTTTTGGTCATCTCTCAAAGAAATGCAAACCAAAATTATTCACTGTTCCTCTCCATTCATTTTAGGTTTATCAAATCCTGGTCACTTCTTTTTATTCCTATTATTAAATTCACATACATCTTCTGATAAGCTGAACCTCTACCTCTCACAGTCCATTTAGCCTTTTTAAAAAGTACAATGCATCTATTGAAATTAGCGGTTTTTGCTTTTCTCAATTTTCTTACATTTTTTTTTAAATGCAGGCAAAAGTGAACCAAAAATTTTCCCCTACCTGCTAATCTCTTCATCCAGGCTCCTTCATCTATGCCCAAATTGTTATGTATGATTTTTAGAATGTTTCCCAGAAGAGTATTCATATCATCTGAAGTCAATGCTGTGCAGCACATTTCACTCTTGTTATGATTGTTTTCTGGTCCATGTTCCCACCAATGTGACATGTAACTACAAAGCATGGGCAATATAACTTCCATTACATGAGGCATTTGTGTATAGCGAATGCCTGATTCAGCTAATTCTACAATTTCTTCCATTAGTTTTTCCAGAGATGGAATATTTGGACAAAGTTCCTTTACGCTGTTGGGTAAACTGATACCTAGAAGAACAATACTGCATATTAATATAATACCATGTTTAACAGTATTATTAAACAATCCCTTGGTTCATGCTGAATATGTATGCTTGTGATACATATTTCCACACATTATTTTATACATATGTATTTCCAACATCACTCATCATTCATGTCTATTTTCTGAATGTATGTGACTCAATATTCACATATAAAAATCAATTTGAGTGGATTTTGCTTTGCATAATAGATCTTTTTTTTTGCATAATCTCTTTTCCAGTATGGTTCCCTTCTTCCTTCGTCTTCCTCAGATTCTTCAAATCTAGTACAATGATTTTTCTAAAATCTCTTGGGGGTGGGGGTGGGGGATTGAGTTCAGGGACAAAAAGGAACAATGCTCCTTCAATTATATTGATGGAAATAGAATTCTAAACTATTACATCCAACTGGATTTCGTTTTTAAAAAACTAGCCCCAAAATGAAAGTAGATAAATTAAATCAACGTTCCACTACCTTCTAACACATGGTTTAGAGAATGAGAATAAAATGTTATTCCAGTGGGGAGGGGGAAGCAGCTGCTCCAAGGAACCTCTTTGGAACAGAAAGTGAAATGCTTGACAACACTAGTCATTATCAAAGAACAAACTAAGTGAAAAGCAAATATGCAGTATAATTAATTCTGGATAATTCAGTAAATTCATACTTAGTTACCTGCTCTTGTTGTCTTTGTATTGTATATAGAATAAATATTGTGACTATTCAGATGAGTTTCTAAAAAGGCCACAGGAAAGGCACCAGCAAAAGCAGCTAAACATTCACCTAAAGCTGAGCGTTGACTGTGAAGTAAAACAAAACAAAACATCTTTTTAAAGTCAATGCAAATATAATTAGTTTAGTTTCATGTTAATAAGATTTCTAAGATGTTCAATTTGTCTGGTAATCATTGCCAAACAATAGTATCTGGGTAGACACTGATACAGAATTAACTCAGATTATTACAATATAAACATGATTTACATTTCAGTCATAGGTTTTGCTCTGAAACTATCTTCTTGATCTGAGGGGTTGATGTTGCTGATTTTCTTAAAGATTTCTCAGTCATTTTCAATATGACATATCCTGATACCTTTTTCTGGAGAGTTTTTAGGCAGGGTAATCCTGCAGTGGTTCTGCTCATATTCGAAATATCATCTCCTGAAGATGGTACTGAGGTATTTGAATAACAATGTTGGAAGGGGCTTGGGAGGTCTTCTAGTCCAACTCCATACCATTTCAGACAAATTGTTGTCCAATCTCTTCTTTAAAGCCTCCAGTGACACCTACAACTTCTGAAGGCAAGTCATTCCACTGATTAATTATTCTCACTGTCAGGAAATGTCTCCTAATTTCTGGTTCCCTCCTTGATTGGTTTCCATCCATTCTACCTCAGGTGCTTTCAAGAATAGGTTGCCCCCTCTTCTTTGCGGCAGCCTCTTAGATATTGGAACAGTGTTGTCATGTTAGCCCTTTTCCTCTTTTTCATTAAAATAGACATACCTAATTTCTGCAACCATTTTCATATGTTTTAGGCTCCAGTCCCCTAATCATCTTTATTGCTTTTCTCCACACTTTTTCCAGAGTCTCAACATCTGTTTTTATAAACTGGCTACAATATTCCAAATGCAGTTTGTGTTCAATTCTGCAATGTCTATAGAATTCCACCAGTTTGTAATTTTATATGCTGTTGAATATCCAAACTAATTTTTAATTTCAATCATATGTATTATTATAGTTCACTCTGTGTTTAGGACTTGATTGAAGAAATGGACTGGATGAAGGCCAATAACATGAAGTGGTTTCAAAGTGGGGTGGGAATCAGGTTTTTAATGGATTTCCATATTCCAGAAGAGGTTGCACTCCCAAAATGAATCATATTTTTATTATAGCAGACCCATCTTTACTATTAGAGATAAAATATATGGATTCTTTGACAGATGAAGAGCCTATTATTAGCTCTTCGCCTTACTTGTACAAAGATACAGGTAATCCTTGTATAGTGACTATTCAAAGTTATGATGATGCTAAATGAGACTTAAAGCCAGTCCTCAACGTCGCAATAGTTGCAGCACCCCTGTGCTTGGCAACTAGCATGTAATTATGACAGTTGCAGCATCCCCTGGTCACTTGATACCCATTTGTGATCTTCACTGCCAGCTTCCCACCAGCAAAGTCAACGAGGAAGGTGGAAGGAAATTGTAACATGGCACTACACCTAAGAAACATGCACAATTCACTTAACTGATCATAATACATTTTTAATGTTGCATATTTCTTTCTTACCGTTCCACATAGATACTCTTGCTGGTTCCCAAAGCATATAAACTGGCCAATATTCTATAACAAGAGATTTGAACATCTTCCACTAAGAAAAACAGGAAGAAACACTAAACAATTTTGTGCATTGCTTTTCATTGTTATCCACAATGTAACTAAGAGACCACTATAAACATATCAGAAAACAATTCAGAACAATTTGAAATTTTATATCTGGACATGCAAACATGCTAGTATTATTACAAACAGCTGAAGAATACCTGAATCTGTCTCATCAAGAGCATTTAATTATTTTCATTTTGAAGATCGATAAATATAGTAATATAATTAAACAAATGAAGCTGGAATTGTATTTTGAAAAGTGTTTTTATAAACTCCATTAAAATCAAAGTATTGATGTATTATTGTCTGGAATATTAGAAGCCAAGCTATAATGTTCTTAAACATAATTTAGAGTTGTAATTGTATAAATTATTCATTTTAATACTTACATATCAAATCTTCACCAAACTGATGCTGTCCAATGTGCTCAAATAATGAAGACAATACTGGTAGGAGAGCCACTGTTGTGTAGTTAATAATTTGTGTTACTCCTTTTGGCTGACTCCTGGTGTGTGTGAATTGCCCCTGCTTAAGATTTTCCATTGTTTTTTCCAGGTCCTCTGCAGCATTATCCAAAAATGTTCTCAAAGCCATCTTAACAGATTCCAAACCTGTCTTCATCACTGTCCTGTATATTGCATGTACATAAAATAACATTATATTATATTATAAACAAATTCCATAGAGTTCCTATGTACCAAGGAACACACTTTGGTTATAGAAGTGTAATAAAAAGACATTATAAATCTCTACAAATAGTTCATTAGTCTTGAACCTAGTAAGCAAAATTGTTAGTTGACATAATTCTGTCATTGCTTCCTCCCTAGAAGGGAGATTGGCTCCATCTAGACATTAATTAAAACTGAACTTTTAATGGGATTTGTGGAGATTAGCTATGGTTGTTATGATTTATATTTCTATGGGAATTCAAGATATTTTACATGAGAATCTTCCATCACTTTTTTATCTCTACAAAGTAAAGTTGTCTGCAAGATAGTGAATTGTTCAAATTTACCCGGTACTATGCATATAGAGTTGTGTAACATCACTAAGTAGAAATTTAAATGTGTATATTTGGTCCCACTCTGATATATTGACTACAATGTACACTGGCTCTGTATGAAGCCATACTAGCCTCTATAATATTCTGATAATTCTGCTGATAATATCACAAGTAGATTCAAGTCAACTCTGTGCCTGAGGCTACCCTGAAGCTGTAGCAAATACAGAACATACTAGCATAAGTGTTTATTAGAATATAGGAATCTCTGTAAGAGGAAAAAGCAGCATGCAGCTCTCTAACAGTTGCATGTGTTTAGACTAAGCAACAATAAAGAATAGGAACAAGCTGATTATGTCAAAGATGGACTTCAAAAGATCTGAAAATAGTTTTGAGAATCAGTTCAGAGCATACAGTGTAAAACAACAAGGGATACACTGTTGAATTATTTGCTAGAAAATAAATTTTTGGAATGATGAAGGATGGTGTTAATGCAACATACCTAATTTTAAAGTTTCAGTAATATCACCATACTTTTAAACACATTCAAAACATTCACATAATACGTAATGCTATGATTTGTAATGAAACATTTTCACCATGCAATTGTCCTTCATTCCTAGTTGAGAAAATAGTTACGATGATAGCTCATATATAAATATGTAATCTATAAAATTTCCAAGTAAACTAAATATGAGAATTAGGAATTGGGACATATAAATAGATGATATGGCATCCAAACATATTTTCAGTGGGACAGAGGAACTGATAGCTTTTCTCCTGGAATTATTAATCTTTCTGATTTAGCAAGTCTCCATTAATGAAAAAACACAACTAAGTATTCATTTAAAATAATGTTGTCCCTATCAACTTGAAACAATATTTTAATAAAATCTATTTAGCAATTTACCTTGCATCCAAGGTTTGACCCAAGATATGAAGACAATTGACTATTGAAGTTGCATCATTTCCTAAGGGAACCAGAAGAAAGGAGAAAAATGAGAGATTCTGTATTATGCGGTTTCTATTTTTCAGCACTACTGGTGAACTTGCAAGTGGAATTTAATGTTATACATTATATTAATTAAAATATTATTTCAATGATTTCAATAGATGCAAAAAAAGAAACATCTAACTAACATAAACAAAACACATTTTGAATATCCCTGAATATTTTTTGACATTTCAAATTTTCAGATTATATTCTTTAAAAGTTAATCTTTTCATCACATTAATTTATGCATTAATATAGAAACATATGTTCTATAATGTGTCATGAATCACATCTGAATCTAAAGCTGTCAGATAAAGAATAATGAAAGCAATAAGCCATGCAAAGTTGGTTACTGTAAAAAATATCCACTGATGTTTAAAAGAAGAATTTGGAGAATGAAGATGTCAAAAATAGATTTTTCAAAATTTTGAGCAATAATAAAATTGTAATGTATTTCTCCAAGAACATCTAAGAGTTTTTCTCAAAGAATATTTTTTACATAATTCACAAAGGTAATAATCTAGGATATAACCCGGTATATAGTGATGTTAGCCCTTCATACATTAAGAAAGTCAAGTATATTTTTCACTGAAATTTATGGTCCTTAGACTTTTGACATGAATGTTGCTGGAACCACAATACAGAAAACAATTCAAGAACTGTTCAGGACTCATTTCTTTCTACAATTACACCACTGCATATACTTATGAGTAGAAAACATGATGATAAGTGTAATACTTGTATACGCTAAGGAATATAGCGTACATTGTCTCATAGCTGTATTACTGAAATATAATTTCATTTATTATATTTATTTACATTTACACAAACCATATCATCTCCATCATATTTGAACAGTATGTATGTAAAATTAATTAGTAACATTTTGAATTAAAAACTCCTAAAATACACCAAATTGACTTCCATGTTGACAGATTTCTGGGTACATTATTTTTTTCCCATAATGTTCAGATAAAATATCCTAAAAGAAAGTTTAACTATATAAAAGATGGGATGTCAAAAATAATTTAACACAATAAAAGCCTTAAGCTTACTAAGAATATCTCAAAAAAATTAAATATTTTATAATAATAAAATCCCTTAACATAGAATTCTATTAAACAGAAAATTTAAGAGAAAGTATAAATAAAGCTGAAAATTACTGAATTCTTAAAAGGTCTATAGATAAATGATTAATAAATGAACTACATTATAAAAATACTAGGTAGCTGAATGAATCTTTTGTAGGTGTTTTACTGTTATCTGAAGAATGTATATTCCATTTTTAGAGGTGTACCAAAAAAAAAAACCTAAGTAAAAATAACAAGGAGATAATAGTGCAATTAATGTCATACTTTCACACAGATAAATATTTCAAATGTGCTTATTTTTTAAAAAAAATGCCTTATTAATAAAAGCAAAATTGATGTTAGGTGACTTTCACTAAGGCACCATTAGTGAAAAACCACTTCTCCCAGTCCAAATTTTCACTTCTGATAAAGACGATATTTAGAAAGGGACATCAGCTAATGGCTGATCTGCTTTAAGTACATGTAGAATTGCATTCACACACACACACACACACACACACACACACACACACACACACACAGAGTGAAGACAAAATAAATCCTGTATTTGTGGTACAAAAATAAAATATATCTAAGATGCATTGTTCCATTAATTATAATAATGTATTAAAGTTTAATCAATACATCTGTCATGCAAAAATGACCTCCTACAAATGTTGAAGCATATCTCTCTTTCCTATTAGAAGTGAATTCTTTAAGGATGCAAGTCAGAGTACTTTTTTGGGGATGTTGTATGTGATTTCTATTTTATCTCCTTGTACAAGTATTCAGTGTTTTGGAGTTTTTCAGCATGACTGAGCCTTACTGAAATGTTTGGCTGTTTCAGGTATTTAGAACTTCTCTAAATCTTGTAGCTCTGTGGAGTATGCTGATACAGGTCTCTTACTTTTCATGAGTCTTGTTTTACCTTCTCTCAACACTTGACATAGGAGTTTGCATCAAAGATAATCAACCGCTCACCATTTTCTATTGCTCTGGCATGACTAATCCCACATATTTGCTAGGCGTTTTCAACAAGCCATATATAAGTCAGTAAAATAAAATTAGCAACAAACTTGAGAGATAAGCTGAATTTCATTACTTTTAAGTTTTCATTTCAAAATCTGCATGTTCAGTAAGGGTTTGCTATGCTGTCTATTCGGCTGATTTCTGATCGTTTTATGCAAGGCCGGATATAAAATTCCAGCTGAAAAAGAGCTAAGCAGTGACCTACAGGCATTTAAAAAAAAACTCTAGAAACCTGCATAGTCCCTAAATTACTCCTAAAACATTCTTTAGGGAATGGGATTGGTGGTTACCATTAGGGTGGCATACATCCCCACCCACCCAATCAATCAATCAATCAATCAATCAGTCAGTCAGTCAGTCAGCCAGCCAGCCAGCCAGGCCAGCCAATCTAGTGGTTTATGATTTTTATTGAGCTTCTCTTTTATTTTGCGGACCCTCTGCCAATCTTTTTGCCAATGATAGGCCCAGAGTCACTCACTAAGTTGCATAGCTGACTGTGGCCATGAATCTACGTCTCCCTAACATCATCAGTTCAGTATACTAACCGCTATACACTTGCTGTCCTATTAGGATCACTTATATGACAATCTAATATATTTATACGCATCAAAATAATTCATCAATAATCTGTCTCAAATTACTGTGAAATAGCCAGAGTCCTGATCAAAATTATATTTCAAATATGCAAGGATTCCAATAATCATTCTCTTAGAGGAATAGTAATAATAAGTTTTCAACATAGCTATATACATAATTGAACTTTTAAAACAATTTTACACCACAGATCATCTTGTGAGTAATAGGGATGGGAAACTTACTCTGCCAATCTATATGGAATTTTTCATGATTCATATTCAGAGGCAAACATGCAATACTTATTTTATGAAAAACAGAGCAACAGAATTATTTGATCTCTTTAGCATGTAACTCCAAAAGAGGCTGTGCAAATGCTGTGTGTGTGTGTACCTATAGATATGGGGAACACAGAGAGCAGGATCATGACCCCAAATAGTAATGACCCCAAAATACACAGGATTCCAAGTGACTGCTATGGAAATGCTATGCCATTTTATCAGGAAAATTGTGGATATATAATCAAATTAAAATTTGCATGTTTACTGAAATTCCCTTGATTTGCTAGCCCACAAATATCATCAGTGATACATAAAATCATGCAGCATGCAAACGAAGAGGACACACAGAGTTGCAAATAATGGTAAGAAAAACAAGGGATGCTCAAACAAGCATTTGTCAAGGGTCTTCTTACCAAACAGTGAAATCCTATGCCTGACAAGAACTCCAAGTTTGCAGAATAGGCTAAAGACAAAGGATAAATAAAAGAGAAGGGAGGGGACAAAGGAAAAAAGGAAGAAAATAAGAGGTGATGTATGAGCAAGAAAAAGCAACATGATGTTTTGCAGAAAGAATCAGTACTGAGCAGAATGTAGGACTGAAAATACTAGAAAAGTTTTCAAGAATTGCTCCACAACAAACGTAGTTAAGAAAGCACATATCTGAGGTAAAGAAACAGAGTAAGTGGGAAGCCCTATCAAGAGATAGTCTTTAACATGTTAGGCAACAAAGTTTAATCAGTAGCCTAGATATAGATACAAGTGTAAACATATATTTTAAAAGCAAGAGAGAAAAGGTTCTGAGTAATAGCCAAATATTTAATAATAGTATACAGTACATTCATTTTATGTATGCATAAAGCTTATATTGCTTTTTAAAATAAAATGTGTTTGACCCACAATTCCTACTAGCCACTGTTCAATACAGATTTACTAAAGCCATTCATTTCAGTAGGCTTGAATTCTGCTTAATTAAAGTTAATGAAAATGAGTAAGATACAAATTTAAGTAGATATGAATGGATTAATTTTTATAAAATGGATTGCATTTGGTTGCTCTGTTGCACTGATACAAACTGTTTCCATGCAAAAGAGAGCTCCATCTGTAAATGCAAATATGCGTTTTTATGAACTCAAGTCATACTATCAGAAGGCTGATGGATTAATTCTAGAATTTATTATTCCCACATTTTCAGAAATACTGTGATCTTTCAAGGGATATTCGTATTATGAATAAGATAAGTAAATAAATATTAACAACATACCTTATGTCTCAGAATGAAGTAAATTTAAGCTCAAATTTAAATTTCTTGAAATGTATGTTTTATACAATATGTTAGGTCTGGAAGCAATACTAACTAGGTATTATCATTGCCCCCAGACAAAATGATATAATTACTTTTAATTATCTCTTAATAGGTTGACTAATTCAGTCACTCTTTTATATAAGAAAACTCTGCACTGTTTAATGTTACCTTGATTAGGTTAATGAATCAAAATATCAGTCCCAGAGGTATTTCTAAAGCATTCTTATTTTGAGAATCCAAGACCAATGTAATTTTTAAAAAGACACTGAAAAGCATTAAATTTTTCTTTTGCCTAATTCAGAAAAAGTTGTGATACAATGATAAAGTATATTTACATATTTATTCTGTTATTCTGTCATGATTTTCATATTTTGTTTTCAATTATCAAATGAGATGAAAACAGTTGCAAATATTCATATTCAAAGAAAATATTAAGTTTTGAAAATAGGTGACTTACACAGAATATAACATAATTATTAGTCTCAAATTCCATTTGCTAATCTTTTGATTTAAAAGATTCAAGAAATGGCAGTGGTGAAAATGTGTTATGGGGAGTGCTTTTGACAATAAATAAATGAATGAATGAATGAATGAATGAATGAGAGCATAATTACAGAGAATGTACAGACCAAATGTTTGCTTTCAGCAGGGCCTTGAGAAATGTACAACCATGAGAAAGAAAATGTATTCCAAGTCAAGCTGGTGTAATTGTAGAAAGAAATGAAATAGCCACAAATAAAGTAAATAAACTTGAATTATAGGATGATTTCACAACAATATAGAATTGAAGATTTGTTGCTGAATATAAAAGAATGGCATATGATAGAAGAAAAACAAATATGAGAATAAATGAAATGCACAATGAATTGCTGAATATTGATCAAGATGAAAGGATGTGTATTTTCACCTTGTTGGTTTATACAAATATGGATAAATGTATACATAGCAAAGCAATATTAGTATGCTGACTGGGAATGTGAATATGGGTGTCCTTTTACATATAGATAATGGTACATTGTCTACATGTAAAAGGACATCCATATTGTTAATTAAGAACCCAAATAATTTGCAGTGAAAGCGATACAGCAGCGGTCCTCAACTTTTGCAGTTTGGTGGCCCACCTGGGTGGGTGGGGGGAATGAAACCAGGCCATGTGAGCAGTGGGGCAGTACACGTGCACCCGCACACAGCTCAACTTGCATGAGCAGCAGGCTGGCGTGCACATGCACACACAGCTTGACTTGTACAAGTTGAGCTATGTGTGCCACAAACATGGACTTGAAAATTAATGGATTGATGATTCAGGTAGCCATTTTGACAGACAAAATGGAGCAAGTTCATGAATTTGTGTGCTTTGGTAAAATGTTTAACAATTGCATATGTGCATATTATGATAGAAAGGTGGTATGTGATCTGTTGTGAAGCAGAAATGTAAAAAGAAAAATACTGTATATAATATGTACCTTGTTCACTTTGTTTTATGGAAGTGAGAATTGGATATATCAGGAGTTAAATTTAACTAAAACTGAGTTGAATTCAGTGGATCCTTTAAAAAAGGTATGTGGTTTAACAAAAAGAATATAAAGAGTGAAGAATGAATGGGTGATGAATTGTTTAAATATAAAAGAGAATGATCAGTACAAAAAAATCTATTGAGGTGGGTTTGATTCTGTAGGGAGAATAAATGAGAATCAATCACAAAATGATTATATGAAGAAAGATTGAATGTCTGAAAAAGTCATGTTAAATTGAGTTGATAAGATCCTCAAAAAGAAAAGGATATTAGAAGGCATAAACTGGCTGATGAAGTGAGATATAGTTTATGAAAATGTATGTCTTCTAATAACATTTGCTGGTTGTAAAGTTTGCTACATATAGTAGTTCATATAAAGATGGGAATCCATGTTAGCCATAATATACTGTAGCCTGTATGTGTATGCATGTGTATCTGTACCAGTAATACCAATAAAAACAAGGAAACATGGTTAATGCTTGTATGTCACCTTATCTAAAAATATACTGGTGAAATCAGTATGAGAGTACACAGAATGGCAAAATTATTGATATTCACATGTGAAATTTATGTCCTGTTTTTCTAGCCCCAGAGTATTCAAAGTGACTATCAGATGCAAAATCATAAAAGCTGAGAGCCTCTCTAGTTAAAAGCAATGTAAAAGGGGAAAAAAAGGTGGTGGAAAGAGAATACAAGAGGTGTCAAAACATGGAAACACTACTAGGTATAGGAGAAAGATGAAGGATCTTTATTATTCAAATTTCAGTTTTTAGAGTTCATAACTTTATAAAATAGATGTTGGATTTTTGTTACTTCTCACTTTTCTAAATATATCTAAATATATCCATAAACCTGCCAGGGTTTAGAATATGCAAATTGGCTTTTATACTTTGTCATAAACTATGTTATATATGTTTTTACCTGGTTACCATTTCTTTCTCCTTGTTAGAAGCATGACCCCCACTGCTCAGAGGTCTGCTTGCTGCAGATAGGAAATACAGGCGGTGATTTTTGAAATACTGATCAATTAAAGGAAGTACAACCTGAAATAAATACATGGAAGAGATAAAAATACTATATACTGATTAGTACAATACCTTACTGCTGCTTTTATCATTCCTTAGTTTTGTGGCACTAAAGACCTGTCAACATATAGTATATGCAAGATTTATTAACATAAATTCAACTTTTCTCTAAGACATGTCCTTTAGTAGGATTCAAAATTTTATCCTTTTATCTGGAGGTACAAAATAGCTTCCAGTCTTAATGTTCTTATATTTTTACTTTATTATTTTTTATCATTTTAACTGCAGAAATTCTCCCTATGCCTGATCTTGAATTGGCAATAATAGCTCAGCAATGGAGCATTAGCTTGCTCAAGCAGTTATGGGTGTTAGTACTTGAAAAAGTTTTACCACCGGTTCGGTGGGCGTGGCTTGGTGGGTGCGCTTTGTGCATGCGCACACACTTTGCAGGCACACCAAATGCGCACTTTGTGCAGGCACAGAGGCATTTGCACAGGTGCAGAGGTGTTTCAACTCACCTCCTGCAAGCCTGCACTCTCCCGGTCACTTCAGCAGTTGCCACACAGCACTCTGCTGTGCCACACAAAGCAGCTGCTCCTCAAAAGCAGAGGATAAAGGTCAGTATGGGAGCCCGGGCGGGTGGGTGGACCGGTTCAGTCTCCACTGCTCATTGCTGCTACCGGCTAGGCAGAACCGGGCCAAACCAGTAGAATACCGCCACTAAGTACCACCCAAGGAATAATTTTGGCTTCTAGCATGTATTCTTCTAATTTAAAAAAAAAAATCACTACAAGTCACTGCGTGATTAGCAAGCAGGAATATGTTACTGTGCTACCATCTGCAGCATTTATGTGGCTTGTTCTCAATGTCATAACTACGCTTTACATTTGATTAATATTAACTTTTAATTTCCCATAATAAATATTACAGAAATACTTTACTTTAGCAAAGAATTTGATTTCTTGTTCATAAGGAAACTGTTCTCCTTTTCCTCTGCTGACGCCATCTGTATAAGAAAAAAAGTGCTGCAAACCTAATTGAATATATTACAGCCAATTTTGCATTGTATTTCATCTATCCATTCTACAGTACTACATGACTTGAAATGTTGCTTTTTATTTTAGATGCTTTAAGGTTCTTCATAACCCACAAAGCAGCACATTAACAAACTTGATTTCAGTATATAACATTCATATACTCTATAAAACAGAATTCAGTCTTTGTTAATTTGCAATAGTGTCTTGCATTATCAACAGCAGCTTAAAAAGGCATTCTTTCTCTCTCTTTTTAGGAGAGCAAATTAAATCCCCAAGACATTTGCTAAGAACTCAGCTACATAAAATACAAATTACTTCTGATGAATAGCAATTCATAGATTTCATAAAACAACTGTTATATATAGTACTTGAAAGGTTGACGGTAAATGTTAAGAACCTTATATTATTCAGTGTTCTATATTTTAAGAGAATTATCAGTAATCATTTCAGAAATGTTCTTCTTCCAAAAAGAAGAACAAAAAGAAGTTAAAACTAAAACAGATCATGAGTGTATTATACTTTCTAAAAAGGTCCACTACTCTTCTCTTTTTTTTACTTTTCATTTATGTGATTAACTGATTGGGAAGAGGGGAAGAAGTATGCATTTCTAAAAATTCGGCTTTCTATAATTCATTACCAGAGTTGCTGGGAGTCAGGTAGCATATAAATTTAATCAATTATTATTATTACTATTGTTAGTATTCTACTAATAGTATACTATTGGTACTTTGCTAAGAAGTAAAACTAATCTTCCTGACTTCTTAGAAAATAGTCAGAATGTATTTCGATATCTTCCTCACCTACAGGCACAAAGCAGTTGGACAGCTGTTAATTGATAATTGTTTTGCTCCTTTGAAAATTTTTCATGTAGCTTATGATTTTTTTTTCTCAAAAAGTAGAGAATGATTGGCTCTGACTCATTTTAAGATCTGGTTGGTTCACGCACAATACTAAGCCAGTCTTTTTTAAGGTCTACTTTATTACAGAAGACATAGTGACCTGACTGATATCAAATGTAACACTACAATGTACTAGCACAACAAGGATAGAGAAACCACACTACAGCTTAGTACTGTGTGTGGAGTCTTTATTAATGAAAGTGTTCAACTGCTACCATTCAAAAAGAAATAATGTTGAACTGTATCTCAAAAAAATAACATAATTTTAACACTTTTAAAGCCATTTGCTTCTTATTACCCATGTAAAAAAACTTGTTAAGGCTATATTTTATATAGTAATATATATTAAATAATATCAAATATATATTTACAATAGCTTACCAAATTCCAGAATATACTGATGGGCTTCATCTACATATCGTATCAATTGCTGCAGAAAACTGTAAGCAAATCTTTTTTCAATGGATGGTGTGTCTAATTCTAAATTCTTTAAGCCTCTGGAACAAATTAAAAAAATATTGCTCCCAACTAAGAAAAAATTTAGAAAGGAGATCTTATACAAACTTTGAAATGATCATAGAGACAGTCATGACATTATTTATTTACCAAATGGGATATGTTAAATAAATAATTTAGACTTAAATTACATTCCTTTTAAGTAGTGACTACCCTTTGACAACTCATTTAATGTTTGATCTTTTATTTCTGCATCATTATGTTAGCAAGCTTATGTGGACATCTTTCTGCTTATCTTTCAAAATCACCAAGATTTGCTGGTGTCTATCTTGGAGGAAAGTTAATTTGTTATTATTATTGCTTCTTATAATTTTTAATTTTTTGTAATCTCTTCAGGTTGGGACAGGCTATAAAATTTTAAATTGGAGACTGACAGGTTTGAAAGTCATGCATATATTATAGTTCAGCCCCTTTGGGTATAATAATAAATTATGAATTAATTTAAACCACAATATCAGAATTTTATTTGATTATATTGGTTTTGCTGTAGAAAATTTAAGGTTGTATTTCTGGTTTTGCCACCTACAATTTTACAATCCCCACCTTGAATTAAGTTAAGTTGTATATAAGCTTATCAAAGAAGGTTTATGGCTGAAAGGGGGAGCTTAAAGTTATGGGTCTCCAGTTCAATTTTTTAATTTATTTTTATTTACTTATTTATTTGAATTCCACCTTTATTTTTTTTATGAATAATGCAAGACAGTGACTATATGCAACACACCTTCCTCCCCCTATTTACCCACAACAACAATCTTTTGAGCTGAATTGTGCTGAGAAGAGAGAGAATAGTCACCAAGCATGCTTTCATGGCTAATGTGGGACTGGAATTTGTGGTTTCCTGCTTTCTAGCCTGGTGTCTTAACCACTACACTGAACTGGTACATATCTAAAGAGATTGTTAGCAATAGGATTGAATGACAATATGCATATGCAAAGCTATTTTATGCTACATTTATGAGTAAGAAGTCTAGTTACTATCATAAATGTTGTGTCTTTTTTATATGAAAATCTTCATCCTTACCAAGTTCTTAAAAGGCAGGAAATCACAAAACTGTTCTTTTGCTTCCCCTTCTTAATGAAGGCCTAACAGTTTATTATTTAAGAAATTATATGCTATTGTCGTACATTTCTTCAAGCAGCTTGCAACCAAACAAATTTGGTAAATTAAAAATAAAACCAACTGATTTTTTTTTTCTTAAAAGAGAAGGGGGAAAACTCATGCAGAACAAAATTCTGTCATATGAGTTCCTCCCTGCCAAACCTGGAGAGAATGATGATGTTTTTCACATATCCTTTCTCACAACAACATAGACATCTTTAATTTTTCTATTACTTTTTCATAGTTAAGAAATGTTATCTTGGATCATAACTCTTAGATTTGTCAAGAGAAAATCAACACTTAATATTTATGCCTTCACATAACACATAAAGAAGAAAGATATTATTTGGAAAAGGGCAAATCAACACATAAATACATATCTTAGATGTAACTATTTTCGTATAAAAAACAAATTTTGCCATGCAATACATTTTTCAGCTACATAAAGTACATAATGAAGATTATTTCAGCTTTAAAGCCTATAGCAGTAACTGATTAGCATTTACCTGGACACAACATAGCCATTAATCTGAAGGAACTTCAGAATATCTTGGGCTTTCTCTCTATCTTTTGCTTTTTCTTTGGCTGTCAATGTATCATAGGGTACAAGTAGGGGATGATTTCCTCCTCCCACTAGAATGCATTCAGAAATTAAATGACAAAATAATGACAGTATGTTATTTTTAAAGAAATTAAATTTCATAAAACATTAAGACATTACAGTACTCACTTTGCCCTACTGGACATATTTTTAGTATCATTACCTCCATGTTGTTAAAATAGGAAATATTTAATTCCATATCATCATGATTATCATTTAATGACCCCATAATCTCTTGTGGGATGGAGTCTGAGAAACTGAATGGAGCTAGCAGAGTGTTTAATGGCCAGATGCCCTTCCTGTTGCCAATGCGGAGTTTTGTTTAGTAGATATATTCTCATTGTGCCCAGAGAGAAATATCTGCGTCTACCTAGGATCAAACTCACAGCCTCCTGATTATGAGGCAAGAGCTCCACCTCTCAGCCACCGCATCACTCCTTATATTCAATTCCATATGCTAATATTTTAATTCACTAATGCTTATTGCTAAGAATGAAAATCCCAACTCCTACTATCCATATTATTAACCTGTTATGCAGTTTACTTTTATATGCCACCCATCTCACTGTCAAGTGACTCTTACTCAAAGCTCATCTAAAATTTTCAAAGTCATATGTTGCAGAAGTCATTTCACAATTAATTCTGCATAAATATCTTAGAATCACTTTTGCTTGCATGCATTTTAATACTTTCACCAGGTCAGGCACTGCAGAAATGGTTACTTTAGATTATGACATAACACCATATATAAAATTGCACTTAAAATGTTAAAATATATTTTTCACACAGAATCATTATTATATGTAGCATATCACAGAGTTATCTAACAAAAAAAGAGAAATTATACTGAAAATACTGTTTTGGCTATAGAATGTTAATTTCTGGGTGTCTCAATTTTCTACTTCAAAATGCAGAATGTCCTGAACAAGTATTCTTGATGGTCAGCCTAAGGTCATTTATATATTTTTTTAAAGAGATTGTACCTTTGGCTTCAAGCTCCATTTTCTTTTTCTTCGCCCATATGTTATGATAATTTTCAGCCATCATCTCAGCCATTGCCTAAGGAAGAAGAAAGACATAAATAATTACAATTTGTTCTGTAGTAGGTTAGTTAAGTTTGTTTTCATTTTTTTAAACAAAACTTTTGGTCCCAGCCAAAATATTAAAATATTAAAATACCAACTACTGGCATGTTTTTAAATAATTAATTTGAGACTTCCACAAATTGTCTCCAATATTACAGAAATTACATGAGCAGAATTCTGCTCCTGGCATGCTCCCTCAGGAGGTGGGGAGGAGGAAATTTTTACCAATTCAACCTTCAGCTCCTTGTGCTTCCCTAAAATCTGGTCTGGAAGACTGGAGAACCTTCCAGATCAGTGTCAAAAGTAGCAGGGAAAGTTGCCAGGGAAAGGAGGAATTGGCAAAAATTGCCTCTTACCCTTCCACCAGCTGGAACAACCATAACAAAAGCCCTCCCATTCTTGGAAAACCAACTGCAGGTCCAAGCATCTGTTAGAAAAGTTGGAGAATAAATGATAACTATCAGAGGGTTGGTAGAGAACTGTATTAAGTAATTATTGAAAAAGCCATATAAACTTCTTAAAACATTACATTCCTAATGTTAATCACAATAGCCATGTAACTTACATGTAACTCTCTGGACAGGGTAACATTACTCATGTCAATTGCACGGGGGCTATAGCCATGGACTGTATCTACAGAAACCTAAATAAATATCAATAGAGGCATTAAGAGAAAAAAAGAACAATAGAACATATTTGAACAGGTTTAATGACAGCTTACTCTATCAAGGAATAGGAAAACATTGACAAATTTATCAGTGTATCATGATTTCATATTAAATCCTAAATGTTAGAACTGTGCTAGATCTCATTATTCAAAATAATCTAGTTAAAACTTAAAACTGAATGCCATGAATTCTAGAATGCCAATGTTACATTTACCTAAAAATGAATAAATGATATATGCATTGAATTACAATAAAATGAAGGTAAATATATAGATAAGACTCAAAGCATAAAACATATTAATTATCAAATATAGTAATCATCAAATAATGTAAACACATGCTAAAAGTTTCAGCTTATCAAATTTCAGGAATTTCAATGCTGTATAGGAATTCCACTAAAGTTCTTATGAAAGTGAAAACATGCATCACAAAACATTTAGAAGCAGTATTACTTGAAGAAAGGATTTTTCCTAGAAAAGAAAAAATACATATATATTCTCTCTCAAGCTTGTTTATATTTAAAATTACATTTCTTTCTATATACTGCCCCTGTTAAATTCATTAGAGTTTTATAAAAATCACAATCCTAAAGTATTTTGTGAAGAGAAATTCCATTTTCTTTAGATACTTCAAAAACAGCAAATACAAAATAAACATAGAACATTAAACTATATAAAGTTTAGATTATTTTCCCCTACTTACAGAACTTGGAGGCCAATGCTCACACTGAAGGAATGCTGCAGTTTCTATCTCCAAAACAGTATTTTAAAAAAATAGCTAGGAAATATTAGTGATAAAGCTACTAAGTAACATCATCAGAAGTGCTTGCAGCTCAAAATATACCTGACTTGTCTGTGATATCCGACGTGAACGATTATAAAGAGCCATAGTATCTCCTTCCCTTGTTCTTTCAACTCGCCATCCCCAAGCAAGCATGGTTTTCAGAGACTCTTTGATTGGCCATCTATAAATTTCTTTTTCCTGAAAAAAAAGTGCATATATGATGATCCTATTAGTAGTAAAAGAGTTGTCCTCACATGTGGTTAGTAGCACTCAACCTTTTGATTGAATTTGAGATATGTATAAATAACAGAGACCACCACCAAGCAAATTTATATGAAAGGTGGATCCTTGACTGGAAAAATCTGCTTTGATTCTATGCTTATCTATTTTAACTTCCTTAGCAACCAACATTCAATTAAAAATTATTTTGGTTGTAGACGAGCATAAAACAAATATCAGAACAATCACTCTTCAGTAGAAGAATAAAGTATCACATTGATAGAATAAAAGAAAAGAAAGACTAGTATAGAATTACAAAGTATAGGGATTAAAACCAGGGTGAAACCTATAAAATCATAGTCTATAACAGTGTTATAACTCCGGTCTATAGTATGTACAGTATTATGAGAATTAAAGTTACACATTTACACACATGCCTGCTTTCATGTCTTCCTCTCAACCCTTTGGGAAGGAAAATTCTGCAACATACCTGAAGAGCTGGAACTCTTTAGGTAAAACTCTGAAATTCTTATGATAGGGAAATTGAAACCATGAGTTGCTGCATTGCCTTTTTTTATACACCTACAATATATGTATATTTTCTTATTTGCAATACAATACCCAGGCTCAGTCTTTTGCTAGCTAATCAGAATCCAAGATAATTTTGTTTTATAGTGATTGTTATCTGCCTTATGGTATTCTATGATCAAAATAAATAATAATTTGAAATTGAGCACTAAAAGTATCAATTATTATCTATATGACAATAAAATATTTATATAGCTTTTCTTTATGAAATAACTATTTAAAATCTATATATTCATATCACTTATATAGTACATTAGAAGAGATACAAATGTAGCAATAACAAAAAAAGAAAAAAGGATATTTGTAAAAATCCATTAAATATAATACAAATATTATAAGTATTTGATGATTACTTTCTAAGGACAGAGTACTATCAAATTGCAGCATTATATAGGAAAACAATTCCTATTAAATGAATCTTTTATGCTTTTGGTTATATATCACAACAGCTGAAAGTACAGCAGAAATATCTTGCCCTCATAAACTGAAAGATGTATCATACACTTCAAAAGACCCTCTAATTCTTTTATTGATGTGATCTTTGGACATTGATAATCTATCACAACTAGGAGACAGGTTAAGCAATAAGTAGTAAATTAGTAGGAGGATTGCTAAAAGCTGGGGATACTAAAAAATCAGTATCCATGGGAAAGAATAAAATCTCCATGCTTTACCAAACTGAAAATCCCCAACTCCAAACTCTTAAGAGAAATGTATAGCATCCTGTGGAGACAGTATTATTATCAATTTTGTAGTGGCCAATTTTATTAGGACAGTGTAGTTACCCCCACAGATCCTTTCAAATAACTTCTTCACTACCAAAAGCTGATGAGATTAAATGGGATTTGCAAGTGATATGACAAGCATATGAAAGCAGTGCATTTACTCAACAAAGAAGGATAGTTTGGAATTAGCTTAAAATACTGCTGACTGACAGAAATATACTTCCAGACCTAAGACAGAATACTTATGCCGTTCAAAGGTAAGTTACATAGTTCAGGGAAAAATACTTGGATCCTGTTTCAACAATCATCTTCACAGACTATTGTCCTGTGATTGTAATGTTTAAATCTATAAGGATTTATAGAGCAAAGGCTAAATTATGATAGGTATAAAGTTTTTTCTTCAAATCCTAGCTTTAGTGTGCTCTTTATTGTGCAAATACTGCAAAATTCATCGCACACAATCTCTTCAGACCTTCCCTAGTGATGAAGTTTGATAGGGATGAGCACAAGAGAAACAAAATGGAGGCTAGAGTTCCTATCACTATTTTTGCTGGGTTTATGGAGTATGTTTCTTTTTTCTGGAATTCTGGAAGAATTCACACAAGTCCTGTGCTGTAATAAGGCAGATAATCTGGAGAAAATTCTCACTGTCCAGAATTTATAACTCTTGCCTTTCCAACTGAAAATTTTACATGTGACAGAAGAAACAACATATATTCTTCAGGTCTTAATGGAGTTTTCTAACTAATGGGAAAGCTCTAAAATTGATTGCTACTTTCAATGATTAAAAGAAAAGATCACAAGAAAAAAATCTGACATGAACTTCTTACCTTTTCTGATAATAGTTTATATTGTTTCATTAATGGCTGCACTTTGGAAGATTCTGAACATGTTTCACCATATATCCACCCATTTGCAAACTGACAAAAGTTTAAAGAAAAGGAAGGGATAAGTTGATCAAGAATATTGATGCCATTTATGATTTGGATGCTCTTTTTGCATGCTATCAATATACTATACCAAGCTCATGAAGCAAATGAAATTTCCTGTGTTTTTATCTTGGTTCTTCTACTTTCTTCTGATCTTAAAACTTGTTATAACAGCAATTAAAAATTCCTGGGCTTTAATTTGTCATGCAAATTTTAGTTTCACAAGTGTTATACAGTATATTACATCTTGTATCGCAATCGCTTTTATAAACTGGTAATGAGGTCATACTTAAAGTGTCTATCCTATATATATCCCAAATATTAACACTCATGCACAAGGGGAAAGTATTAATTCATCACAGACCCCAGAATTTCCAAAGGTGTAGAAACGGTATGGGGCAAAAACTCTAAAGAATTTTAAAAACAGCCTGATTAAAACTGAGCATGCTTAATGGACACAAAATGCCGACTGGCTGTTGAGTAGAATGAAGAGTGGGTTGAAGAGAATACAGTGCAATAAATATACTTCGGAATCTTCATTGAGGGTATGAAGAACCTGTGTGTCTATGTTTGAGCTCACCATAAAAATTGAACAGGTTATGTTGAAGCACTGCAAAAAAAAAAAGTATGCTAATGATTGTAACCTCTTGCAATATCAATCTCCATTTTTCAAAATCTTCAGGGGAAAGATACGGATGTTCTTCAAGTGAACTGGGACAAATACAATTTTTTTAAAAAACCAATCTGTTTTAACAATAATGGCATTGTAAAAGACAACCATGCAAATGCAGCCATCCAATTGTGTGATGATACCAAAAAATATTATTAAAATAAACTTGTGAACTGAATGGATCTGTGTAAAATGTAAAAACTGGGCTGATCCTTTTCTTAGAGAAAGTAAATGCACTTAAAAATGTAAAAATCTGATTAAAGAATTAGAATGTTTGAATTAATGCAACATAAACAAAATTCCATGATGAGTATTGAAAGGAAAAATAAAGTCAGATCATTAGCAAGAATCATTCCCTAATGCTTTACATATATCCCAGCAAAAAGAGAGAGAGAGAAAGAGAGAGAGAGAGAAGGAGGGAGGGAGGGAGGGAGGGAGGAAGAGGGATGCAAATGATGCATAGATGTGAACATACACTTTACCTTTTCCATGCACCATTTATCGTGAGAATGTTCAGCATATTTGTTTATAAAGTAGTCTAGTTTTTCAGGAATTGTAATGCTGAATGAGAACAAACAAGGCAAAGATAAGTATTTCATGACAGTTTTTTCTTTATATTTAATTATTTTACCTTAAAATCATTTAAATATATCAGCATTTGCATTTCTCTAATTCTAGTGTTATCACAGAGAACAAAAACTGGTATTGGACCACTTTATAACAATTTTGAAAAAAATGAAATAATCAGTCACTGAATATAAAGGAAACTTAAATTGCTAATTGTACTTATACTTAATGTAATATGATTATTAGAAAACAAAAGTGAAATACTCTTTCTAAATAATTTAAATATTTTTTGTATTTGAGAATCAAACTTCATTAATAAATAGTTAAGGAAGAATGACTGTTTATGACAAATACATTTTTATAGCAACAGAAGTAGATGGTTTAACAGCACCAAAGAAAACAGCACTATATTCATATTATGAGCTGTAGAAGTGCAGTGGTCAGAATGCAGTACTGCAGGCTACTTCTGCTGACTGCCGGCTGCCTGCAATTTGGCAGTTTGAATCTCACCAGGCTCACGGTTGACTCAGCCTTCCATCCTTCCAAGGTCAATAAAATGAGTACTGAGATTGTTGGGGGCAAAATGCTGATTCTCTAAACTGCTTACAGAGGGCTATAAAGCATTATGAAGTTGTATATAAGTCTAACTGCTATTGCTATTTCATATTATTTTAAAAGTTATGCTCAACTCAATACAGGCTATGAAAACATCCTTACTTTGAAGTATCAACAGGCTGTGGATTGAAGTTCCCATCTGAATCCATGGAAGCCTGTTTTTCCAAAACAGCAACATAATTTGATTCCATGTAATCAGGAGGTAAAGCCCCAGCTACAGCACTCAAGCATGGCAGTGCTAATTTGAATAGTTCTTGTTCATATTTCTATAAAGACAAAATAGGATGCAAAAAACCCTGGTTAAAACATTAAGAAAACTTCCATTTATCTGGGAAAGGTCTCAGTGTTCTATTACCACTACCATTATTATATTTAGTGGATTTTTCCCATTAATTAAGTTTACTTTAAGTTAAACTACTTCAGGCTTTCTAACTAAAACAAAGCCACACTTCCCAAGGGAATTCAACTCAGTCCCTCCCCCGCACTAGAGGCAAGAGCCATCAAGTCCATTGGGATAGTGTTTCCTATAGAGGCTGAGCCTTGTTGTATTTGACAAATGTTGACAACACCAGGAAAAAAATGAAAAAGAAACAAGAGATACTTCATAGTCTGCAGATAGATTAGTAGTTAAGTATTTTAATCAGGCAAACATTTGTTCAAATGTTGATTTAGAGGGGTTTAATAGTCTGCTGAGTTAGTTGCAAAAAACCTAGTTTTTAGATTTAATAGTCTGCTGAGTTAGTTGCAATTGTCAGTTGAATCTATATTTTTCCGTTCTAAGGTTAGGATGATAGTTCTAACTAGCAGTTGAGTTTGCTGAGGACGAGAATCTTTCCCTATGACACATTAAACATTAACAACAATAATCAATGGAAGAATTTCTGAGAGCCAATGTGGCATTTATTTATGATATAGTGATTAAAGTACTTGAGTAGAAGCATGGAATTACAGGTTTTGTCCACCTTCAGCTATAGAAGCTCACTGGGTGATCTGGGGCCAGTCACCATATTTCAGGTTCACCTACCTCACAGGGTTCTTGTGCTGGAGAAAACAGAAGCCACTTTGTGTTCCCAAATAAAAGGTTGAATTTATGTTAAATAAAAAAAAATGAAATCCACTTTTATTTATATTTAACCTGCTCATATTTATCTCTACCTCACACTGCTAGCACAAATGGAATATTCGCCACTGTTGCAAATTTTTCATTTAATATAATTCTTCTATTAAAGGCAACAAAGTTACAGAATACATTTATTAAAGTAATTTGCTAGCTAATTAATTTTTTAAAAGGTATATTTAAGCATCATTTTAATTTTGTTTTCTAATATGCACTCTTGCATATTCATCGTGAAGTGTAATTATTTATATGTGATTAATACATATTAATATATCACATCCTAAAATGTTACCTTTTGAGATAAGGCATCAAAAATACCCCAGAACAGCTTTCTGGACAAATGAAGTTCTTCTTCTGATGCAGCACCAAAGTTGCCCCACCCTCCTGGTAAACAGTAATATTTCCAACATCTTTCATAATGAATTGTCAGCAACTAAAAAAGAAACATGAGAGTTTGCTTTCTGACAAGGCACTGCCTATTTGGTGAGGTTCTACATATAATCACTTTAAATGCACAGATATTGCAACAGGTAAGTGACATAAATATTAAAGTAATTATCTCAACCCAATCAACAATTATGACAGAATTAATCTATTATTTGTTAAATTAGTATAAGGATTTTGGATTTTTTTTTCTTTAAGTTAAACATTCAGCAAATAATTATTTCCATTATCTCTAGATTATCTCCAATCCTATGCATATCTTATTTAATAAGATTTGAATCATTTTAATCACTGATAGGTCTTGGGAAAACACTCTACTGTATGGGAGAGAATTTCCAAAATAGTGAATAAAATAGGTCTTCTGAATAGTGTTCATACAATTTGTATATATGAAGGTAAGACAAATATTTTCTCCTATCTCCAGCTGAGACAATTACTTCATTTTCCATTTCTGCACATCCTTTATATACAGCAAGCCTTAGGCAAAGTCTGCTTTCAATGTTTACAGTATGTAGCTTTTTGTAAGTATTATTGAAATAAGAAATATTAAATTGTATCCAGCTTTGAATCACAACTGAACTATCAAAGCGGAACTGAAAGAATAACAGAATAACCATGATGAAAGGGCGGAGGTGGCGTCGCAACGATATGGCATGCGATCTTGGAGCTCTGAGATCGCTGCCGATATCTTTGCTCCTGGACAGTCCAATCAGATCTAAACCGTCCCGTAGAGACGGTGAATGTAAAGAGCGCATCCTGTCGATCCCAGGGATACCGCAAAGTCCCTGGTAGATCCAGGAGGAGTTCTTTTTGCCAGCGGCAAAGAGGCAGCCATTAAAGCTGCTGAAGTTGGGACAGTTCCGAAATGAAACAGAAGGGAAAGAGAAAGTGTGCCAGTTTGGTGAGAACTTTTTCTTTATTTTAAGATTTGAAAGGACACCCTAAGGAAAAGAAAGAATATGTAAAAGTTTTGACAGAAGTGATTAAGTGGTGATTTTGAACAGGAAAGGTGGCTGGTTTGAAAATAAATAAAGATAAGATAAAGATCTTGACAAAGAATATGCTATCAAGACAAAAGGAAGAACTGGCAGATCTATTGAAAATCCAGGTCACGAATAAGATCAAGTACTTGGGGATACATTTGACAGCAAGATGCAGTACACTAAAAGAGAATAATTATATCAAACTTAAGCAGCAGATAGCGCTAGATTTGGTGAAATGGGAGAATTTACAACTGTCATTAATAGGGAGAATATCAACAATCAAGATGAATATATTACCCAGAATTTTATACTTGTTCCAAACAATTCCAATTAGACTTGTAAAAGATTACTTTGAAGATTTAAATAAAATTGTGTAGAAATATATATGGCAAGGTAGGAAAGCGAGAATAAAGTTAAAACTTTTGCAAGATGCCAGAATAAGAGGAGGATTTGGTTTGCCTAATTGGGAGTTGTATTACCAAGCTACAAATTTGATGTGGGTTAAGGAATGGTTAACATTAAGAAATACTAGATTATTGACATTAGAAGGACGATCTGGTGTTGGGGTAGCATGATTGTAAATGTATTAACAGCGACTAGGATTGTATTTGCTAAAAACTGGAAAAATGAGAAAATACCATTACAGGAGGAAATCATTAAGAAAATATTGGAATGTGCTGAAATGAATAGATTGACATTTGAAATCAGAGAACAAGATGATAAACAATTTTATAAAATTTGGGATGTATTCTATCAATGGTTAGACAATAAAACACGGTAATGAAATATGTAGATTCTTATAAAATAATAAATATATAAAGATGTATTCTTTTCTTATATCTACAAAATGATTGTAGGATAGATTTGAGATGATAATATGAACTGTCATAAAACAAATTAAGTAAAATATGATTATTTCATAAAATATGAATAAAAGTATAGTCAAATGATTGATTAACAATGATATTAATGTATTTAATACTTGGTTGAAAATATGAGAATATATACAATGTAATTGTAATTGAAGACTACGAAATGGAAGCACAAAACAATTTGTAAACCAACCGGCACACTGTATGTACATATATGGAAGATGCCCTGATGTTTTTATGTTTTGTTTGTCTATGTTTGTTTTAAAAACCAACAAAAAACGTTTTTAGAAAAAGAATAACCATGACATTATTTTTGTGATCATTCTATATTTAGGGTTTGAATATTACACTGGCTGTAATATTGACCATGATTGGCCAATATTGTTACTTTATAGGTAAATCAGCAGTTTCTTCTGATAGGTGATGCCTAATGGCATTAATTGTATATTTTATAAAAAGCAAACTTACCTTAAGAGGCATTTTGGCATGTTCATTTAGAAGAGGGATATCAAATACTAATCTTCTCAACAAATGTTGCATCATTGAAGGTCTTAGCTGACTATCAAGTAGAAAAAAAGCTTCAGTACAACATAGATTTGTAACCATTATTGTGATTACGCAAGTGAGTAATCTGTACAGAGTAATCTGTAATCACTACAGAAGTTTAATCAGTATTTCTGATTAAAAGATAACAGTACATGAAATATGGAGATAAAGTATGTTCAGACTCATGCTTGAAAAAAGCCAGTGTGGGATAAAACAATGAAGGAGGTAATAAAAATGCCGAATTCATATTCAGTTGTTTTCTTTTAACATTATTCACCTTTATCCTTTTGTATGAAGTTATTTTCTTTCAACAAAAGTTATGTTGTCTTTGGTAATACAGTAAAAAACTATAAATTGTATTTCATATTTGGAGTTTGTCAAGCAGGCATACTGAGATAAATATATCCCTTCCTCCCAGCAGTGTCTAACAATTTATTTTAGATTTTAACTAACTCTTGTTTTTCACTGCTGACCTTGTGGATTAATCAATTAGCTATATATTCTGTCTTAGCAAATGCTCATTCATTTGAGGATACCTCGGAAATTATTTTTTCATTAGATGTTACAGTATTTTTACAATATCAGTCCTGGAATCTGTTTTATTATTACTGTAATCATTACATATTAGTAATACCTGGTATTTATTTCAGGGTAGTAGTTGAAGTAATTGCAGATACTTTTGATCTGTTGATTCATTTTACTATCAATCCTACATCCTATGGAATTCAATTCCTGCTGCACAAGCTTTCTGCATACATGAAATTATTGACTTCTTGTCTTAACAGATACAAAACAGTTAGCAGAGGGACTCTATCTTTTTATCTACTATTGTAAAAACATGCTCTCTACATGTTTCCTAAAAGAGCTAATTTGTTTTTCTTTCAAGCAAGCAACAGCCTCAAGAATAATCTATTACAGGACTTCTAGGGGAGGTTATAGTAGGCTGAATAATGTCTCTGGAACTAATGACCATTGCAAAATGAAGAAACTGGGCAGTAGACCAGTTCCTTGGAAACTTTTTGGATAAGAAAAACAGGAGATTAACCACATGTGCTATGGACAATTGCTTCTTGTGATGAGACTGCAGGATAGCAATTTTCTACAGGTTTGAGTACTGTACAATGAAGGGATCAGCCATCATGCTTGCAATCCTTTTAAAGGACACTAAGTTTGCAAGCCTTACTTTCTAATGATTTTTTTTGAAATGGCCTACTGTACAATTTAAAGCTATTAGCTATTAAAATACTTTCTTACTGGATTTGCAAAATCCAGTGGATTTACAAAAGAAGCTTGCGTCAGTGTTCCAGAAAAACAAACTCCAATAACACAACTCCGAGAAAGGCATTTTTTCAAAGTTCCAAGCTGACAGCTTGTTAAAGCCTTAAAGAAATTAGAAGAACTGAAAATTCTACATTATTTGATTGAATTAAAGATAAAGACTGTAGAAGTAAAAAGAAGAAATATAAAGCTGGTTTATTTGATCAGGGGTAAAATAAGACATTTTTGCAAAGTTTTGGCAGCCCATTATGGAATTTTTGCTGACACCAGGATTAATGTTTTATTGACTTGCTTATAGGTAAGGGATAGGATATGAATGAAGAGATATCTGTTTAACCTTATAGGAGGTGAAAAGTTATTAAATTTGTTTACACTTGATGTGATGAAGCTTGAAAATCTCTTCTTTACATATTTCTTTTCTTCTGCTTTAGTATTGTTTTCCTTGTCCTTATACTTTTTCTGTTTTCTTTCTCTTAGTGTAGTTTGTAATAGGTTAGACTATTGTAATCAAAATTCTTAATAAAAATATATTTTAAAAAAAGAATAATATCTTGCAGACATTAATTTTAGTGTTTCTCTCTCCACCCATGCTGTCTAACCCATCCTTACCCACAAATGGAGAGTAGGCACTCTTCAATAGAATCCCGCTGAGCTTTGGTAAGAGAACAGCCTTTGGAAAGCCGATATACAGTATGTAGCAAGGAATCTATAAGGGAAGCATGATGTTCTGTTCCAGCAAAAAGAGGAGCACATCTTGTTAATAAAGGCAAAACTGCAGTGCAAAGATACCGATTAAGAGCCAGGGCCATATCTGTGGCACTCAGGGCAACCTATAAAACAAATTATAAAGCAGTTCAGATATTTTGCTGCACAAAAATGATACAGTTGCAGTATGTTTGAGCTAAGCCTTTTCAGAGCTGCTAAGAATGTGAAATATATAAAATTTTATATATATTTTTTCTTTATTCCAGTCTTTATTAAAATTAAGAATGCAAACACTGAAGGACCACTAGATGGCAATAAGGTTTTCTGCATCATTTGGCTATCTCATGGTTGCCCCAATTTCTGCAGTAGAAATAATTAAAACGTATCATTTGTTTTATTATTTATCATTTTGAAGTAGCAGTGATGGCACAACACTGGATTTAGCCTATTATTAGAGCTATTTGCGCATGATCTTATGCAATAACAATCAGATATTTAATCAGACAGAGGTAACTTCATTTGAATATTTCATTTGTGCTTGAATTATAGTTTATTTTTTAAAACTGGATGTCCATGTTGCTATGTCAAGATTTCAACTTCAAAACCCACTTGTATAAGAGGAATATTATATAATACAAAATGCAAGGAGTCCTCATTCATTCTCTCTGCTAACCTAAATGTCATTTTTAAGGTAAATTAACACTGAGAAACTGTGTTCACTTTAAACTATCTACTAAACTTGAAACCTGAGCTCCCAGGTCTCAAAAGCTTTAAACAAAATGTTTCTTTTCCAAGAATAAGTCAGCAACTACAAAAGACAGCCATGGAACTCCAGGATAAATCACCGTTGCCTTGAGGAACTGAAGATTGGTGTACATGAAGGCTCCCACACCTTGTTCCCTTTGAATCCAAAGTGTTGCTCAGCCTTAAGTGAAAACCCTAACCCATCATTTTAAAAAGTATTTAAAATTATCAAAACTTATGCACAGGATAAATCCAAATAAAACAGAAAACACTAATTAAGGAAAGTTAAAAGTTACTTGTTACCGTATCTAAAGAAGCAGCTGCACGAAGATCTGGTAGAAAGCCAACTTCTAATAGGTGTAGAAGAAAATCTTGGTCTTCAATTCCATAGACCCTGTCAAGAAACAATACCATCGCTGCCTTGTGATCAGGGCAAAATCCGCCTGACATATCAGGTTCTACAACATTGCCATCTGAAAAAAAAAAAGAGGGCGGAGGGAAGAAGGGGGAAGTAGAGAGAGAGAATTATTTCTACACACATGATGAAGAAGAAATAATCAAGTCACTCATAATAAATAATAGGAAGAAAAACTGCAAGTTTTCTTACCTTTTGCTATTGTTGGCATGTGAAAAGGAATGCTAATTACACCCACCAAGTCCTCCAAAGGAATCAAGGACCTCAGAATAGATCTGATTCTAATGGCTTCCCCTTTGCCAGCATGGATGAGCTAACAGAATAAGGCAATTAAGTATTTAGATGGCTTGTATGAGAATGCAGCAATCAAAGAATGCAGATATAGTCTTACACATAAGAATTCTATGAATAAGCTAACTATAAATGCATGTGCTCCAGATAATAATTCTGTGAATTAATATAATATACAATATAACTTGAAATCTCATAGAGCTCAACATTTGTTTAAAGATGGCCCTGATATCATATTCCAATGATGCACTATTAAAAAGGAGGTGCCATTCTCATGGTAAATATTCCCCTGAAGGATCTGAAGAGGCAATAATATTAACAGTCATTTTTATCATTTCTATATCAAAAAAGACAGAAATGAGAAGTTCACATTTATAAAAAGTCAAATTACATATTTAATTTCCCTATGGCTAGAATATGAAGTGATTCTATTCTAGCTTAAGTTACTTTATTCCATTCAACTACCACTACCACACAAATATCTATTTATACTCATGTTCTTTTTTTTCTTTTCCCCATACAACATCCAATCAAGAAATCTGGTGGTCCAAGTGAAGTAGATTCTTTTCATTTATTACATTTATATGCCACCTATCTCACTGTCAGGCAATAAGTAGGTATGTTGATTCCTAAATTCCATCTACAATAACATTTTGAATTTTAGCATGTCTATATGAACTTTGAAGTTATCTATATCAACACAAATATAACATGAGGTTCATAGAATACTTATTTTTCCATGTATTCAATTGTATCTCCTACTTTATTATTATTATTTTCCTCTCAGTACTTAATTATCTACAACATTAAATCTTTACTAGGCTTCACAGAGATAAGATTGATCCTACTGAAGATTTCATACTTCTGCAAACCATGTCACTACCCAGAATTTATTGGTACATCTTTTTGTTCATGGGCACCAGTATCTCACATACAACAGTCCATGAATTCAGGAATCGGGAAAAGGATGAAGAATCACACATTCTGTTTCACATTATTCATTAACAGTGATAAGTTATAAATTCAACAAAAATAATAAGTACATGAATACTTACATGCATTTCTGGAGCACAGCGTCCCAAGAGATCAATCAGAGCAGCATAAAAAGTCATGATGGCATTTCCCATGTGAACAGTATCATCCTCTTCTTCTACTTCACTTCTGTTCAGTTTTTCAAAGAAATTAAAAAATAGTGAAGGAATAATAATGTCTGTATTAAATCTGTTATATAGTATATCTTTAGTCATACCTATGTTCAAGCCTTGGCATAACCAGTTAAAGCTTAGATTTTAGTGCTCAGACAAGCAGAATTATAGTGAAAGTTTTACACTAATTTTAAGTCCTTGGTCTAAAATAGTACAAAATAGAGGGCTTTTTGTTTGGTGGGATTTGGGGAGGGGGGAGATATATAATGTCTCTAATATATATTCTATATCATAAACCACCTGCCCACAGTCACAATGAATCTTATTTATTCCTTCTAGGCATTTAATATTTTATATAATAGAATATTATATTTTCTATTTTTCAAATATGGTATACAAATGATAAAAAATTTATGCCAGACTATAAATATAAATGTGTGCATGGATGCGAGAGAGGAGAGGGAGGGAGGGAAGAGTTGGGAATGGAATAGAAATATCCTCTGAATATTTGGGGAATAATCTACAAAGTGAAGATATGATTAACTTTTGAGCATGCATTTAATCTCCCCCATTTAGAAAAGATTTAGCTCAGATATGCCTTGCGGGGGAAAAGTAAAACTTTCCTTTTCTCTCTGTTTCTTCTAAGCCACTTCATTTTAAAGATAAATTCACCTCCACTCATTTAAAGAAAGTTCATCTCTAAGATATGAAACCATATTAACTTCTAACTGCCACTCCACATAAATATAAATGTTTAAGGAGCTTTTTAGCAGTAATTACCCATATCAAATCTCTATAGTTTAAATTACAAAGGGAATGATGCTGGGATGTTGTTGGCAATCAGAGTGCAGATTCAACTTGGACAAAAAAGTTATCTGAAAACAGCGGGAAGACTATTTGCTCAACAATTATAATAGCTGGTGAACAGAAAAATCCATGTCAGTAAAAGGATCTATGCCATAAGAAGTTTAGAACACATAGAAATTATAACATATAAGTTAAATTATGCAGGGTAGTGATTAAACACTATCTGCCTATCTGTGATCTACTTATGGATAGACAGATAGGATATAAACAGGATATATGTCTAACAAATGCTTTTAAGTCCATATACTGATATTCTTCCAATTTTGAGGGTTTGTATTTATAGTAAACAGAAGATTCTTGTCATTTTTATCATAAATAACATATTGTTATTAAAATTCTCAACACAAATTAGCATTAGATATTATATTTAAGAAATGTACTAGGCTTAGTGATAGGCCTAATAGAATTTCAAACCAATAAATGTTATTAATGTCATAGACCAGCACCATGCACTTCATTTTAGAAACAATGATTCCTAAAAGACATTTTATTCAGGGAATAAACATTTCCATTCTACCTACGATGTTTTAGTGGATCCATTAGCTGATGAAGGGCCATCTCTTGTAGGATCTTCTGATATGTTTATGGCTTCTTCCATTGCAGCAAGCAAGCCATTTCCACCTTCACCTCTCAGTGCTGGTCCAAAACATTCAGGCCGTCGAATGAGTAGTCTGACCACCACATTAGCATTTTCTTCAACACTCTCACCTACAATCATATAGAAAGTTAAGTACTTGATGAAGCCACAAATCTGGAATTAGTTTCTATAACATATGATAAAGAAGCCCAATATTTGTCCCCAAACCGATAGATAGATAGATAGATAGATAGATAGATAGATAGATAGATGATAGATAGATAGATAGATGATAGATAGATAGATAGATAGATAGATAGATAGATAGATAGATAGATAGAT